TGGCGTCAGTACTATGAATGGCAGGTGGCTCACTTTTACGTAGACTTGCATGGTCTGCAACCCTGCTGCTTTCTCATCCGGGCTTGGGACCGGCAGTGGCGGAGTTTATTATTTTTTGAGTTTTTAATATAACTATAATATAACATTTCATTTAAATTACATTGACCATTGTTTCCATGGTTTCCTTTTCAATAGTCCGAATCCAATCTCCATGGCAGTCGTGTGGCTGGTAATGTTCTCAGTCGTAGCACTATCCTCTATGTTGAGACCTCATGACGTTTATCACTAGATGTTCAACTTTTCGCGGTGTTTGCATGAACTGAGTTTTGCTGCGGAATTTTCATTTTTGAGACTGTACTTGTTTTAATAGATCCTCACAGCTGCGAACGTTAATAAATGCATCTGTTTGAACTTTAATAATTGTTTTGCATTGCATCTGTTTGTTCTTGTATTTTGCATTTTGTGAAACATAACATAAGTGTTATGAATATCACTTTGGTTCGAACCTTCTAGCAAGGATTATGGAGCTACAGTACTGTTCTTAAAATGCTGGCTGCTTTTCACAGCGTCACTTTCTGCAATGCTTTTACCTTGATGACGTCATATATTGACCTTAATAGGCGCTGACGGTCTCCTTTCACTGTTTCGAGGTCATCCAATCACTCAGGAATGACTCTGTCGTCACTCGCCAGATCTTTTGTATTTCCATCCTCGGTTCATGATATTTCACTCTCTTTTCTCTTCCTGTAACAACAACATTGCTCTCAGCCGGGCATGCTATATCAATGACGTGCCATCACGTTATCAATAAGTTTGCGCATTATGAGGCGACCATAACGGCGTTGAAGAACGGGTATGACTCATTAACGTCTGACAGGACTGAGATGCAGTCTCTATGCAAGAACATTTACATCCAGCTATTTGCGTCAGATATACGCGCCCCCTCCTCCCCACCATCATTCCAACAGCCATATGGAAGTGTACTCCCAGTCCTCTTAAGCCGAGTTCGGAATTCCACGCAGGAAATGAAGAAAGGGAAAGTTTCAGAGAGAGACGGTGTGACAGTTGAAATGATCAGACGTTGTGGAGGGCTCTAGCGGAGAAGTTAAGATATTCCCTGAAAGCGGAAAGGATGTCATCCAGCTGGAATGAATAGAAAAGAGTCGAGTTGTTTAAGAAGGACGAGAAGGAAAATCTGATGAGATATTGCCCACTCTGTCAGCTCTCACAAATCTATAAACTGTTCACCAGGGTCATCACCAACTAACTGTCAATAAATCTGGATAAGCAACAACCAGGAGAACAGGTAGGATTGCGAAGGGGCTACAGAACAACGGATAATATTTTTACTTTAAATTTACTACTAGATTGCACGAGGGAATGGTGAGTTCCTCGGTGTATCGCCTGTGTCTACAACGAGCAAGCGTTCGACATCGTCAAGCATATCGCGGTATGGACTGTACTTACAGAACAGACCATCGACACTCGTTACTTCAGCTTGCTAAAGGAAGCGAACTCTACTTCTTAAACATCACGGTGTTAACACACCCTCTCCTGGTTCCCCTAAAGACGGACGTGAAACAAGGTGATACCATTTTCTAAAGCTCTTCACTGCCTGTTTGGAAAGGGTGTTCCGAAGGATAAATTGAAAGAGTTTAATTAACATCAAAGGTTACAGCTCATGCACCTAAGGTTCGCTGCTAACGTGATGTTGTTTTGCGGAAAACGCCTGTCAGCTACGACATGCTGAAAGAGAGGGAAAGAAAAAATGAAATAAAAAATGCAGAA